ACATCCAGGCTGGCCTTGAACTCTCAATTCTTCTGCTTCAGCCTTCCAACTGCTGGGACTACACAGGTGTACCAGCACGTCCAGCTACTTTCAAAGATTCAATGCAGTAAAATTCAGAATCAGAGAAAACAAGTGTGAAAGTCAGAGAAAAACAAAGCTGAATTAATTTATAATGTTTATCTTAGCAAAGATAACAGGTAAAAGGGGCATATGAATTTTGTTTTGTTTTTAAGTACTTGTATTTAAGCATTTGCTGGGCTGTGGTACACAACAGGAATTAGGCTCCAACTAGGACAGAAGGCAGAACTCCTCATAGTTACCACAGTGCAGAATTGGAAGGGCTGTCTGAGAGATGGAAGGTCTCCTTCCCCTGAAATCATCCATGCAGTGGCTGAACTATTTGTGAGTTGAGTCTCTTCCCAACTCACATTCTTCTTGTCTTTCAATCTTGCATAAAATACTGGGAACAATAAAAGGCAAGGGATAGGCTTCTGCTGTGAGAGAGCGTGTGTGTGTTTGTGTATGCACAAGTGGAGCGGAAGCCACTTTAATACTCTCCCTCCCAAACACACTGGCAGGTTAGCAGGGCCAAAGCTGCACATAGGGGCTGTAAAAGCTGGACTTTCTGGGTTAAATCATGTCCTGGGAACAGCAAGGCCAACACTGGTCGGGGTTGTCTACACTGTGAAGCCATAAAGGACAGTGACATCATGGAGAAGGAGCAATTGGCAAGATCTATTCTGGTGAGCTGTGTGTGGGAGGCAAAGGGGTGTGCCCCAGATGTCCCCTAGACAGAAATGATCTCTACTTCCTTGGATGGTGTCCCACGAGAGAAGGGGAAAGGCTGTAAAAATGTGTCTCTACTTCCTGGCTTATTAGAATAAAGAGTTCCCAGGCAGGACAGATGACTCAGTGTAGGATAGTGGAGGGGGGCGCTATCCTATCCAGGAGGCAAAATGGGCCAAAGACAGTAAAGTGCAGCATCAGAAGAATGTGACACAGAGCCTGTTTCCTTGGAGTTATGTGATGATAATGACGGTCATAACGAAACAAAAAACCCTTCACAAATGAGGTGGGACACCTGAATATGTAAACCCACCCAATAATGAAACGAAATCCTTACCTCTTATCATACACAAAAATTATCCCCAAACAAAATAGAGTCATGTATAGGAGTTATTATAACCATAAAACTCATAGGAAACAATATAGGGTAAAATTTTCATGATCTTGGATTTGGCAATAATTTCTTACTTTTGACACCAAAACACAAGGGATAAAAGGAAAAAGATAAGTTAGACTTCTTCAAAATTAAAAACTTTTGTGCTTCAAAGGTTAACAACAGGGAATTGAAAAGACAATTCTTAGGAAAGGAAGAATATTTGCAAGTTATATACCTGATAAGGTTCTTATTATTAAATAGATCAAACTTTTATAATAATAGAAAGCATAATTAAAATGAATGATTTGAAATGCAAATCAAGACTCAGTAAGATACTACCTCTTACGTACAAGGATGAATATAAAACAAAAAGTCAGAGAAAAACTAGTGTTGGTAAGGATGCTATACATTGCTGATGGAAATGTAAAATGGTGCAACAACTTTGGAAAAGAGTTTGGTAACTCTTCAAAGAGTCAAACACAGAATTGCTATATAATCCAGAGATGCTATTCTTAGGTTTATACCCAAGAGAACTAAAAGCATATGTTCACACATGAATTTGCATTAACAGGATGTGGTAATGCACACCTATAATTCCAGCACTCTGGAAACCTAAGGCAGGAGTACTGCAAGTTTGAACCCATCTTGGGGCAACTTAGCAAGACCCTGTCTTAAATTAAAAATAATTTTAGAAAGGGATAGAGATGTAGCTCAGTGCAAACCCTGGGTTCAATCTTCAGTACAGAAAAAAAAACTTGCACATAAAGATTAATAACAGCATTATTCCTAATAGTCAAACTGTGGAAATAATCCAGGACAATCACCTGATAGATGCATAAATAACATGTGTAATATCTGTAATGCAAAGAATATTTTCAGGAATAACAAGGGATGAAATACTGACTCATGTAACCACACGGAAAACTCTGAAAACATTAGGCCAACTGCAAAGACCCAGTCACAAAAAAGTATTATTGAATGAAACTATTCATATAAAGTATCCAGAACAGGCAAATACATGAAGACAGAGAGTAGATTAATCACTGCCAGTAGCTGGTGGAGGGAAGAATGGGGAAGGATTGTTAATGGAACTGTCTTTTAGGGGTGATAAAAATACTCTAAAAAATTGACTGTGGTGATGGCTGCACAATGCTGAATCTACTATAAAATAATAAATTGTACAACTTCAAAGGGTCAATTTTATGGCATGGAAATTCTATTTCATAAAGTTGATATAAAAACTAATACGCTACTACATATGCAAAATTAACTTCACTATATATGGGGAATCTCTTAACTTTTTATATTATAATTTTTCAATTATAAAAGCAATATATGTTTACTCTAGAAAGATTAAAACAGGGCAAATATGAGGAAAGATGCCATCTTTAATATATCCTCAACCCAGAGAGAAATAACTTGCTATTGGGTAACTTCCTTTCAAAGTTTATAAATTTAAAAAAACAAGGTACAAGAATTAGGCCTTGTGTTCTACTTGTTATATCCCTGGCATTTCCTCGCATTAGTATCTCTGTCAGGACTGCAGAAGCACATGCAGCGGTAGAGGCAAAGAACTGGAAGAGTGGTTCTGCACCATGGCTTCACAGTACAATAACTCTGGGAGCCTTAAAAAGCCATGTTTAGGTGCCACCAAGACCAATTAAGTCAGAATTTCCAAGGGTAAGAGATGGGGTCCCACCCAGGTGTCCTTTAATTTTCATGCACATCTGTGAGTAAGATATACTGGAAACTTCTGCCATTCTAGATCTCAGTCCTAGCTTGCAGAAGCACTGCCTAGTCCATAAAGCCGCAATTTATATTTCTGTATTTGTGGTGAGATTATGTGTGTGTGTGTGTGTTAGTATACACATATGTACATCTGTTTTACTGAGAATTGAATATGGGGTCTTTGTACTGAACTACATCTCCAGCCCTTTACATTTTTAAAAAATTCTGACAGAGTGTCCTAAATTGCCTGGATTGAGCTTGAATTTGCCATCTTCCTGTCTCAGCCTGAAGAGTGCTAGAATTACAGGTGCATAAATATAGTTTTATAATTTTGTTACTTATATTTTTCTGAAATGTACCTGAAACGCTTCTACGAATTACTAGTATTTTTTTTTAAATCCTTCCCAAGAGATCTCTGCCTTCATTTTATCATGTCACTTAAAAAAAGCCTAGACTTACATAGTAATTACAATGAACCTAAGCTCTTCCTTAGTTCTGTAGAGATATGATCTCATAACACAATGAACGAGGTATCATCATCATTGCTGTCTACGAAATGAAATCTCAGCACAAAGGTGTTAATTAAGCAGTGGAGATGATTCTGAACTCATAAGAACTAGTTCTGAGGGTCTATGTTCTGGGTAATTCACTGATGTCTCAAACTCAAAAGCTTTAACATACTAACACCAGGAGAGAGAAGAGATGCACCTCACTTTTAATACTATCCTACATAGAAGGAACAAATCAAAGCATTCAGTAGTGAGGCATATGTCTTTAAAAATTCAAGTTCTGAGAAACTCTAAGTAGGAAAAGCTTTCTGTAATTCTTCAGAGGAATTATTTTCTGGAATGTGCTTGAATTTCTTCTATTTAAATTCTTACCTTTAGTTCTGCTAGTAGTCTCAAAGAGCTCCAACAATGGAATAATTATAGACACATTATATTGACAGTTACTCAGGTTTCCTACCTCCAATCATATTAAACTATATGAGGTTTTATAAATGTCTGTTGTCAATATAGTGTGCTTCCTGGAAATGATTTTCATAATAAGTAAGTGTCCAAAGGGCTGCAAGCCTCAGGGAGAAGCCCCGTGTATAGACATATGTGTAGGTGAGTGGGTGTGGGTGTGCTGATAATTTGTTGATGGAATCCTACTGGTATGTATTAATCACTAAAAGATTTCCACTTTATTATTGTTATTTTTCAATTGGGGCAGAGAGTCAGGGTATTATTATATCCTTTCACTTCTCTACTGTCTCCTACTTCCATCGTTTGAATTTCCCATTTGAATTCGTATTTCAAAATAGAAACAATCTAGCATCACTAGTAGACTTCAAGTTATAAGGAGGATTTACTCTTTTTTTCTAGATCAAATATCCTTCTAGAAAAAGATTAGTGACAGAGGACCTATTTTCCATGGCAAGGACCGCCAAGTTCCATCAAAACATGTCATATCTTTTTCTTAGCTCTCAAAAGAAGAAAAGCCACCTAGACGTTAAGGAGTCACAGTCAGTTTCAGGGTTTAAGAGTTATACCTTCCATCTGCTTTAGCTATAAAACACAGCTGATAAGGAGAATTATTCGGGACAGTGGTTTTCAAGCTTTAATGTGTAGCAAAACCATCAGGAAGCTGATAAGAAACACAGATGGCCAGGCCTCACCACTAGAGTGTTTGACTCATGGGTTGCAGATGAGGCCCAGGAATCTGCATCTTTAACAAGTTCCCAGGTGCTGCTAGCCAGTGGCTACCCTTTGTCATCTCCTGGTGAGGAGGACCCTCCTATATCCCGCCTTACAACACCGTCCTTTCTTCATTCAAACCTTCAGAGCTGAAGTTTTGAGTCATATTCCAGACTAGTGCCTCAAGTGGTGGAATGCTTTCTGTGGCTTCAGAACCTAAGTAAACCACATTCTTCTCTAACTATGGTGCGGAAAATATTAGTAAAGGAGGCAACTCTCTTTTAGAAGAAGAAACCAAGCTGACCTTTGCATCCCTCCCTGATTCTCTTTAAACTTCTTACTAAGTATTTGGAGTGAAATTCAAAAGGAAAATGTTTCACAAAACTTATTTTCTAGGGGTGGCTCGATGGAAAGGAGACCGGCATACTCACCAGAGAGGAAATATACCCAGCCGGGTGGTGATAAAAACCATGGCAAACATAACAAACAGGAGGTCACACATCTTCTGAAACTTGGCGTAATTTGCCATTTTGGCAGCCTGTAAAAGAAAGAATGTACTATATTAATTTAGTCAAACTGATAAATGACAAAATTTCTTTCAATATGCATGAGTCCCCTAGAAGATACCAGATGCATAAAATCTCCTGATACTTTAAAATGTCATGCATCATACATCAGTATTTATAAATTACCCATAAGTGAGTGAAATGCTGTAAGTAGAACTACTGACTGTCACAGATTTAATAAAATATTCAGCAACCTGAAAAATTCAATTATATGGTTGATTTCAGGAAAACAGAGAAGAAAAATAAGAAACTTTTGCATTATAGATGATATTAGCAAGCCAGACGCCAGAACAGAAATCTGGCATTAATGGGTCAAGATAGAAAGTGCTAGATAATCCTTTAAACCATTACTGAGTCCAAAATACTGAGCCCATAAGCTCGATACAGACTCTATGGAAGTTTTCTGCATCTGCCTTCCTCTCCACTTAGAATTATAGCTTTTCTTCCAACAGGCACGGGGAGCACTCTGCAGTGACAATTTCCTGGCTTAGTCTCATCCCAGAAATGAGAAAGTATCAAGATCATGTTATTTCAACTTATTTAATCCATTTAGGTAGAGTTTTCAAAGTTACAGTACTGGATCATTTTCTAAACAAACATCACTGATGTTCGAAGTGTCTGCGAGAAGGACTCTCATAATTTATGACAGTAATTTAAGGAACTACTTGTTATATATTATAAATTAAACTTGGGAAGGAATCATGTCCCTTTCTCTACCATCACTTTTTCAGATGACTCTAAGAAGAGATGAAACTGAAAACAGTTTTGCTTGATTACTTCTTTTTGCATTTTTACATAGCATGCACAGTACCTACACACGGTTATAGACTGAAGATATCTTCTGTGTCTCTAACATTATTTTCTACTTCTTGGAAAATTAAATTAGTTGAGTCATACTTGAAGATTGTGGACAGTATCCTCAGAAGTTATAATTTAATAGCTTTAAGTAAAGCACAAAGCTATAAGAGAAATATATTCCTAATAGGAAATATCTACTAGCTAAATAGGAGGCCAGAATATGAGTTCTTAATTTTACCCCTATTTGTATGCAACCCCATGAACTGTGGTTAAAAAAAATAGCATCCTCTGCCTTCTTCAGCTAGCTAACCCTGTAATTTTTCTTTTATATTCATTCATCAGTATTTAATAAATAAACACAAATATGGACTTTTCTAAGTGTCTAGGTCATAGGTCCTATTTCAAAGACCTCATTAGTTAGACGTTCTTCAGAGTAATTTTATAATGTCAAAAGAGAATTCAGATAATGAAGAATCCTTGCTTAAGCCATCGGACTGAGATTTCTGGGTTCTTTTCTTTCCTGGATAAAACTGAACCAAAATTTTCTGAATCCTGTCTCTACCAAGCACTATGGAAGGGATTTCCACAAGCACTGAAGGTGGTTGACTGTACAGGATCAATTTCAAAACTGTAGCTTGTTGTATAGATTTCTACTTCTGAGCCTATAGGATTTACCAAACGATAACCAATTTTCAAGGAATTGCCCTCACGTTAAATATATTTCTTCTTTTAAAAAAATATGTTGAATAGAGTTGAGCTTGAATCCCTTAAAAATTATAGCATCAGACCACTTTCTGATTTATCTAGCCCAGTAGGGCTATCTTTGTGTTTTACAGTATGAAAGGGACTAGAGGTTTTTAAAATTTAATAAAAAGTTTATTATGAAAATGTACATGGCCCAGTTTCCACAGTGAAAGTGGCTCTCTGGAAAGGGGGTAGAGGCTTTGCTGCTGAGCGGCCATTCTTTAATCTCACGCCACGCCTCCAACACGATGACACTGATTCCGCGCATTAGCACCACTCCAGCACTGCTCTGTTGCCACTAGCTGCCATCTCTACACGTTCACCTATCACAAAACTCAAGAGGGATCAAGTCCTTGAAATAGTCCTTGGAAATGTCTGCCACCACTTAATTTCAGCCATCACTTCTTGTCTATGTATTTTTTTTTAACTCAAGAGGGTGAGCTTTGCTCATGTCACCTACTCCACAGGCTCAGAGCTCCTTTGGGACCAGTTTTAACAAAGTGTGGTATCTACTTCAAACCTTAAGCAGTTGCACTGAGAGTACATTCAACGTTACAGACTTTTCTTATATTGCAGCAACAGATCATAGCTTGAGGGCAATTCTATTCTATATTTACAGTTAATGATAAATGTGACTAAGGTGGCAAACCTGTGGGCCAACAGTAATTTTAAACACTGGGATACAGATTTTAAGACACATTTCTACCCTTTGAAATATGTACTCTTGTAGTTAATTTTGACCATTCATATAAATATATTAACATAAAATAAAAGTCCTTTTATTCAGCCATGACTAATATTGTTGAGCATGATTCTTAAAGCAGTAAATTCTTAGCCAGGTGTGCTGGTGTAAGCCTTTAATCACTACACTCTGGGAGAGGGAGGCAAGAGGGTCACAGGTTCAAGCCCAGCCTGTGCAACTTAATGATTTGGTGAGATCTTATCCCAAAATTTAAAAAATTGCAAAACAAGAGCTGGAAATGTAGCTTAGTCGAGGATTCTGGTTCACTCCCAGTATGCACACACACACACACACACACACACACAGAAAGTAATAAATTCTTTAAACAGTTTCTACACATAATTTGCAATTCATATACCCTTTTCATTGTAAAAATACTAGGAAAACATGTACACTGGTGATAAATCTACATTATTTAATTTTGTTGGGATGTACAGTTCCCATTAATAACTACACCAGATTATGTACCATTTTCAGATAAATCAGTGTGAAATTTATAACACAAATCTATCAAAATAATGACTTTTAATTGTAAAACAAATCAGGTAAGGTGTGAAATAGTACAGGTTCTCATCATTCCATTCATAAAGAATGCTAAGATGATCGACTTCTTTGTAGAACAGCTTATATGCTATAGCCTCATTTTCATTAATTTCAGTAAACGGAAACACCCCAGAGTTTCTAGAGAACCATCTAGCACAACACAGAAGAACTTAGGATCTTGGAGACCTTGAGAGTTCTGGTTTTTGTATTAGGAAAGATGAAGGAAAGCTCTTACCTCTAGAAGAGCATCAGCTGAGTCGTGAAGACAGAGGACCAGGGTCCCTACTCGGGCCATATTGTTGACATATGAAAAGGTGATCAACAAAATCGATACAAGGTGGTGCACGAACATAATGCCAAAGTCCTTACAGAGGAAGAGACAGAGCCACGTTAGAGTTTAGCAACATCATAACATTTCCGTTCATTCACCAGCCAATAAACTAGTACTCACTGAGACCCTCTGCAGGCCTAGAACTGGGGGATACTCAAATGAGGAAGATGGAATCCCCATCCTCTGGAGTCCACCATACAGTGAGACAGACATAGGAGATAAACGACCATGGAGAAAACGCTCAACACTGGGACAAAAGCCAGGTATAAAGGATGATTGTTATGAAGCCAAAGAATTTGAAACTGTAGGAGGAATGACCACAGGATTCCAAGCAAAGAAGGGTACTACTTAGAAGGAAATACTACTTTGCTATGGTTAGATAAGTGTCTCCCCAAAGACCTATGTGTTAAAGGCTTTGCCTCCAGTCCATGGTGCTAATAGAAGGTGACAGAACTTTAAGAGAGGGGCTAGGAGAGAAAGTTAGGCTGCCGGGGCTGTGCCTTTGAAGGACATACTGGAACCCTGGTACCTTCCTGTCTCTCTCTTTTTTTTTTTCCTGGTTGCCATGAGGTGAACAGCTTCTTTCACCACATGCTCTCAACATGATGTATTCCCTTACTATAGGCCAGAAGACATAAGCCAACCTCCTGTAGACTGATACCTCTGAAACCAGCAGCCCAAATAAAACCTTCTTTCAAATAAGCTGATTTACCTCAAGTATTTCGTTACAGCAATAAAAACTTGACTAATACAAACTTTGTGAAGATCTTCTAGGGAGCAGTACAGGTCAACTAGTCCATTTCTCTGTTTACTAGAGGCTGTAATTTCTGAAGGTATAGGTTGCTTTTTCGACTAGTATGCGGCATCTTTGAAGGGACAGCTGGCTACAGGCAGGGGAAAGGTCACTGCATAGCTCTCAGACCCAAGTCCACTGGCTACAGAAGGCCCCATGGGCCACACTGTAAGGTTTGAAGCAGTGCTACACTCTGAATGCTTGTGTCCATCTTCCCCTCATATTCTTATGTTAGAATCCTAATGCCCAAGGTGATGGTTTAGGAGGCAGGGTCTCTGGGAGGTCATCAAGCCAGAGGGCCAGAAGCTTCATGAACAGGATTAGTGTCTCTATGGAAGAATTCCTGAAGAGCTGCTTTTCCCCTTCCATCTTGTGAGGACGCAACCAGAAGGTGTCACTTATAAATTAGGAAATGGGCCCTCACCAGATACCAAATCTGCCAGGGTCTTGGCCTTGAATATTTCAACTTCTAGAACTCTGAGAAATAAGTTTTTGTTTTTCACAAATTATTCAATCTATGGAATTGTTTTATAGAAGCCTAAGCAGATTAAGGCAGGTGGTGCTGGGTTTTATTATCTCACACATTTCTTGGAATGTTCATCTCAAGTTAGCATCCTACCTCCCAAACATGCTTCCTGGGGTACTAAAATAAGAATCTCAACATGTTGGCTTTTCTGAGAGGCACTACACAAGCAGCCATGAATTTTAACCATTATCTGTTCATAGTCATTGAAAAAAATGCAGGGGCTGGGGGGAGAAGTAATACCAAAATGACCATCCCCATTCCAAGGGAGCCACCCAAGTGAAAAGACTTTCTTTCTCTGATACTATTTCCTGACTATCTGGACATGGTTTGACATGACATGGAACTTCTGTTACTATAGTCTCTTTTACTGATTTTTATTATAATCTACATGTGTTTCAGAGTGAATCTGAATATTAGCTCTAATATTGCTCTAATTAAAATCTTTTGAGAAAGATTAGTCCCCTGTAGAGCAATTAACCAAAATGAAAAGTATATTGCAAAACTTATCTATGAATGCCGAGTGTGATGGAACATGCCTGTAATCCCAGCACTTGGAGGCTGAAGTGGAAGAATCATTACAAAGTTGAGGCCGGCCTGAGCTACACAGTGAATTTGAGGCCAGTCTTACCTGCATAGCAAGATCATGTCTCAAAAGACACAACAAAACAAAACAAAATAAAACCCCAACTAACCTATGATCAAATCCTGGTTATGAAAAACAGCAACATGTAGGTTAAATATGATGGGACTTTTCTTTAACTATCCTTGGAGGTCAATTTTCATGTGGTCATTTATTCAACATTGATAAGAATATTTATCAAGTGTTTAGTATGCCCTATGGTTCGGGGGTAAATAGGTAAATAAAACACAAAAGATGTATGTCCTTGTGGAGCTTTTATATCCTAGTGAGGGAAAGCAGATAATAAATAAATGATTACGTATGCAGGAAGGTAAAGAAGTGCTACAAGGAAACATCATAATCATGGTGGCGATATTGCCCTACCAACGAGTGGGCCAGTGTATTTCCAGCAGAGGCAGCTCCTAGGTAAGGCTCTGTTCATCAGCCTTTGAATTCTGATGTATTCAAAGAACAGCACGGAGCATGGCCGGAGTGACAGAGGAACTGAGGCGAGTGGCAGCATGATACATAGATTTCTTTTTACCAGCCTCTTTCTACCTGTCAATAGCATTTTTAAAAGACAGTGTAATTTTGGAGAATTGAAAGCAGTCACTCTCCCAGATAATCCCGGGTATATAATTATTCTCAGTAACGTATGTACGCAGAGATGAATTGGGAATGATGAGGTCCAGAATAAAATGATTTCTGAAAACAATTTTATTTGCTGCATTAGAGTAGCTCTAGGCACTTGTAAGTATTCTCTAGAAACAAACCCTGTCGTCATCTCCACCAAACAGGGCTAAGTTCTTATTCCATTTGTCTTAGGTATTTTTCTCTTGTTGCTGGGACAAAATACCAGACACCCCAAATTAAAGAAAGAAAGGTTTATTTAGCTCACAGTTTATGGAGGTTTCAGTTCATAATCAGCTGGCTCCAAGGCACAGTGGCAAGGCAGAGCTCAACAGTTCAAGGTGGCAGAAAACAGTAAAAGCAACAAGAGCAAAAAGGAGGGGAAGCAAGCCTCTTTTCCTTCCTTATATTGTATTCCACGGCTACGCCATCTCCCTGGCCTTCTCTTCCACAAGCTCAGGATGTTTGCAAAGTAAGGACCCTGACCCCCTCCTGAGTTAAACTTTTAAGCTTCTCAAGTCGACACAATGAATCAACCATTACACCATCCTTCCCTCACATTCCTCTGGGACTGGACTATTCCTCATCTGTTCTGAGAATGGACAATTGGGTATATTACCCAAGAGACAACTGGGTAACAGCCCTCAGGTTGCTGGGTGCCCAACCAAGCTATTTTGACTTTTTCTGATTCACACTGACACTGACAACTAGGTCAGGGAGATTCAAGTTCATCTTTTACCCAAGGAGAACATGCAGACCCTTGGGTGCCTCCTCAGGTTGGAGGTGCCTTGTTCTTTCTCTGCACCCATTTAGCTCTCATGGCTTCTGCCCTGGTCCCTAAGGGTGAAAGAGACACTTCTGAGTCTGTCTTGATCTATCCTGGCTCTCTGGCCATCTTTCCCACACTCAGACAGCTATGTGTTTCTAATTTCTATTCTCCAGTTCCACTCAAGTAAACAATTACTTTTGGGTGAGTTTGTCTGTGGTTAAGCTCATTTGTACTTTAAAACAAAAGTTCAATAAAGTTAAAACCAGCGTCTTTATAGACATGACTAAACTCTTCAAGAAGACATGCATTTTGCTTAGCTTAAGGGAGGATTATGGAGAGTATATTGCATGCAAGCCATCGTGGAACCCAGATTCCAACTAATTTTGTAATTTTTGGTAAGAGGATCAATTTCCTCATGGGCACAGTAAGTACATTAGGTTAAAGTTGTCAATTCTATAATTCTAGGCTTGCTAGCTGCAGTAATGAGACAGCGTTTGAAGCTTAACCTACTAATTTCCTAGCTGGGGTGGGAGGTGAGTATGCTACGCAAGCAGGAACATGCACACCCATCCTCTGTTCAGTGTCTGTTGCAGTCACTACAGTTTGGGATTTGAAAAGTCAACTTAAACAGATATGTCTAACTGGAACTGTGCACAATTTCCTCCCTTGGTAATTGCTTAACATTTATGGATAACCATCCATGCTCATTTATTACTGAGATACACAGGATACTAGTTCCCTAAACACTATCAGATACTTTTTTGAATGAAATCCAAGTATTTCTCTCACTTTCCATTAATGTAGTTCCCACACTAGTCAGGCTGCATTGATGACGAGAGCACAGTCAGAAGAATCACCTGTGCTGCTTCATTAGTTAATTCTAATCTGAGCTACATACTGAGAATCCACACCATCTGTTGACCTCATCTATGCTCCTTTCTTCGGAACCATATTTGTATCTGTTCTGAGGTCCCTGGCAGACAGAGAACTATGATTATGCTCTGAGTTTAAGGAGTAGTTACATGCAGGTGCAACTTCATAGTTTGGGCTACTTCTGCAATTCTGACATTTTTGTGTTTATCGTGGGTTTTCCTAAATCATTAAAAGTAGACCATATCAAAATGCCTTAGGCATACAGTAAAAGTTGTGGTAGTAATAGTTTCCACTGGAAGATGAAACCTTTTCTCTCCAAGCTATTATTTATTAGGTTCTACCACCTTGTGTACATTGTTCTCCCAGATAATAGCTGCTTCAAAACAATAGCTCAGTTAAACTGGAGCTAATTTATCAACTTATATTTTAAACTGTTTCCTAAATATAATTAAATCACACAGTGCTTAATTCAACAGTTCAATGACGTGATATTTTCCCATGCTTAACACACAAATTTTGAAGTCTAACCAGCTGAGTACCTAACTAGAACAATACCTCCACATTTCCTATTGTTCAGCCCTGAATGATGCTTTCAGTGCATTGAAAAGCAGTTTTTTCTCTATTTAATTTTAGAATGAATAAATATAAATAGATTAAAATGCTTACAGAGGATTAGAACCATTTTATAATTGTTTCCTAATGCATATCTGATATAAACATCAACACAATGTCCTCGAATAAAGTAAGGTTCCTTTGAAAATAAAAGCCTTGGTTTTTAGACAAAGTTTGCTCTGCGAAGATGATTTTTGCATACAAATCCCCT